TTTGTTAATTACAAATAATATACTGAATATTATTTTTATATTACAATAATGAAATTATTATAAAAAAAATAAAAAAAATATTTTCCTTCATCAAACCACTATTCTATTACTCACTAAATTTTAATATTTATTTAAATTACTCAAAATTCTATTCTTTACTTTTTGTTAATTAGAAATAATATACTAAATATTATTTTAATTTTATAAAATTAACTAAACTTGTATTATTGAAGTTTTTGCATTATTTTAATATAATTTCTTAGCAGAACTAATTCTAAACATCAACTTAATCTTAATACAAATTACTTAAACCTTATTTGCTTTATAGCTGTTAAGCACATAACTTGTACTTCTTTCTTGCCTACTATCTCTATTACTAATTTAATTGTTTTTAAAATTTTTATCTCAAGTAAAACTACTAACAAACTTACATCTATCTTTTATTCTAATCACTTTTATCAATAACTATTCTTTTATACTGATAACTCAGTAATCAACATCAGTATTAACTAATATATAATAAGTATTAGTTTGATCTAAGGTAATAATAATAATTAAATTATTAACTTCTTTTTTGCTAAAATACAATTCTGATCTTTATCATACAAAGCTAAGCTCTTTTTAATTATTACTACAAATTTAATAGCTTTTTGCAATTCAGTAGTTAATAATTTTACTAATTTTTAATTAGTAATTTTTAAATTTAATAATCTTCAATTTAACTTAATTCATTTCTACAAATTATTCAAATTCAAGTTGTAGACTATTTAGTATACTTTTTTAAATATTAAATTATGCAAACTACAAATTATTTTTTACAAAATATAAGCTTATTCAGATAATAATATTAATAAATAAACAGATTTTCTTATCAAACAATATTTATTATTACTAATTTTCTCATTTAATTATATAAATCTTTATAACTCTTATTATATTCTTTAATATAAACAACATTATATAGAACTTTTTATAAGATACTTCATTAAGCAAATATATAAAACTCATATTTTAACTATATAAATATCACAAAAACATAATATTAAATAGTTATACTTCAATTAAGATATTGACTAAAGATCCACTTGACTTTATTTAATTATAATCAAAAATCTTTATACAATATTACTAATTTTAGACTAAACTAACTAAAGTTTTTTAAAATCAAAATTCTTCTTAATAAATTTCTGATATATTAATTATTTTATAGTATTTACCTAAATTAATACTTAGATATTATCTATTTTATTGTAATTTAGCTAACTCTTATTCTTATTAACATACTTGTACTAATGCACTCTTGCTTAACCCAAGTATTTAAACTTCTACTAATCAAATTGTTTTTAACAACTTATTTGATCTTAATATTTACTAAAAATATAATTTAATTAATAAAATTCTTTATCGTCTAGCTCTCAATTTTCTATATATTTTATTTATCACATTCTATCATAACTTCATTCTCAAAAAACTTATCTTAAAATTACTTATATTAACAATTCAAAACTCTAACATATTATATAAAACTGTTTCTCAAGTTATTATTAACATTTTTTTTAATATTAATGAACAATCATATGAATAATTATGAAAAACATATTGTATTCACTTCTCTAACTAGAAAAAACAATAAAATAAATCTTAATTCTATTCAATTAACAAATTCTTAATATTATCTAATTCAACTACTAGACATACATATTTCTAAAGAAACTATACTTACTTATGTCTTTGCAGACTCTTAGATCAATTATATATTTATCTTAACACATATTCTTCTATTGATCAAATAATTTATAAATTAACATTTAGTCTATTTTATAAATCAAATATAACATACCATCAAATTATATACTAAATATTCAAATCTAAATGAGTTTTGATTACTCTAAGTTTAGATCACAGATAAATTAATCTGAGCTTTTATTCTTATATATAATTTTCAATATATTTGGTTTGTACAAATAGTAGTAGCTGTATAGTTAATAATTTAATAGTTAATCTTAATTACAAGTGTTGGCTTCAGTTATAGCATATATATATAACTATTTTAAATAACTAATAAAAATATAAACAAGACTCCACCTTAATACTAAAAAAAAAATTATAAATAATAAGTATAAAATTATATTTGTAAGTAACTAAATTAAGTAATATAAATAAAAGTTGAAATGATTCTTAGGATCAATATGCTTTATATGATTTATTAAATAATAAATTCCAATACTATATATTATTTATAATATTACATTAAGCCTCTACCCAGTTTAATCTCTATAAACATTATTGTTTGCTTAAGTTCTTGATCATATAACTTATACTACTGATCTTCATTGACCTCAAGTAACCAAAAAACTTTAATCACCCACAAGCCAAACCTAACACCCTTTTTTGTAAAGGTTACCTATCATATGTTCACAAGATTTTGGATTGTGGAATGACTGAGTCACAGTTTTCTGAAAGTTCCAATATACTTGATTTTTGATAATTCGAAAACCCTGTTTCTTAGCCCATTCACATAAAAAAGCCTCACACAACCCCCAATTTTGAAAAGTCTTTGCAACATATAAATTTACAGTTTCAGGTTGATAATAGATTTATCTAATTTATTTGAATTATTCATTGTTTAACCTAAGAAAAAGCAGCTATGATGTCAATTTGTTAACATGATGTAATATATAATGTTCAATGCAAGTTTATTTTATTAAATACGCGATTAAGATTTAGATCAGGTGTTACATAAAATTTAATTACTTTAATTTATTATAGGGTATAAAATTTAATTAACTTAATTTTTTTATATTATAACACTATAGCGATAAACTTAAGGGTGGGTCGGTTACGGTCGGTCAAAGGTTTGTGACCAACTGGTTAAAATCCTGACCAATACTATTTTAGCGATGTTAATTGATTCATTACAATGTTTGTTATTATATTACGCAATAATAAGCGATTTGAAAAATAATAAGTTTAAATTATTTTTTTCTTGGTGTTAAACATATGTAGAGATGAGCACAATGCTATAATTGGTTGTAATTATGGCATTATTTTTTGTAATTCATTATAATAACAACTAATTACAGCATTTGCTCACATGCTCTAATATTTATAAATAAAATAATTTATTTTAACTAAGAAAATACGTATTAATTTAATGATGACACTCATACCGATGACTGTGATTCTCGTGATTTAGAAGTGCAACGAAAGATGTTTAAGGATAAGTCAGTAATTTTGAAGATCACATATGAATAACTTTATTTTGCATCATGGTATCCTGTTTTATCTTAAGTTTCACTTTATAATTTATCAATAACACAGTCACAATCATAACCATCATACTGGACTTCCCCAGCGTAACCATCAAAAAAACCCGGACACGTCTTCTTTGTGGCTTATATTGCTGATTGCTATATTCAAAATTACTATCAGCTACATAATATATATCGATATATAGTAATTGTTATAATTGTTATCGTTATTATTTTTTTTTATGCTTAACGCCACATAAATCACATATCCGGGGGTTTTGATGGTTACGCTGTAGTAGTTCATACTAATCCTGATTAAATATACACATAGATCTGATTAATACTTGGATAGGTAGAAAAGTTTTGTCGCAAACCTAGCTAATAACTGAGCAGTTATTGGACTGGTCATTTGACCGGTTATATGACCGGTCCAATAACTGCGGTCTGTTGGTTATGAGTCAATGACCGCCAATAACCGACCAATAACCGACCGAACCCACCCCTATATAAACTATATTATTCTTTCTTTTATACCAATTATAAGAAAAAAACTGGTTTGTTAAGATCTTAATTACTTTAACAAAACGAGTAGTCTTGAGTAATTAACTGAGATTAACGAAACTAGAAGGTTCTTTTTATCTAATATGATAATTGTAAAAATTTTTTTCGTCAAATGTTAAAGTTCAGGAGTAAAAACGGATATGATTACGTAATAGCCATTCATATACAAGAATACAACATTTTAAAACATAATTTTCCTAATTTGTTATGACGCTATATTGAAAAATTGCTTAAGGAAAAATTGGTTTAAAGTTAGTTTTCTTGATTTGAAATCTGATTTATAGTTCAGGAAATCTGTACCACAAATACACATTTCAGACATGTCAAATTTAAATTAATATTTGTTAAAATTTTTGAATGAAAAAATAAATCAACCAAAATAAACATAATAATAATATATTTTGTTAATTATACAAATATATAATTTGACATTTATGTTATATGATCATGAAGTAATAAAAATTCAGATAGCCAATAAAATTTTGAGTTATATATTTTTTAAGTCCTTAAGTACGGAATTAATTTTATAACTCTTCTCTGAACAGCAATAACATAATGAGAAATATACTATATTTAGAAGTTATATTTTTGGCGATAAAATGAGGTCAAGACAACAATAGCACTTGAAGAAGCAGCCCACAAAATCAACAAAATGAATTGGTAAAGAGATGTTTTTGGAACCATATATTTAGCCCGATCTTTCTCGGCTTGATGTACATAATAGGCGTAAATCGGAAAAGCAACAAAGTATGACAGGTTGAATATAGTTGTTCTAAAATATGTCAAATGTTAAAAAGAATAAAGAGATTAAGTGACTGGTAAAACAATAATAATCATAATAATAATAATAATAATAATACATACGGGATTGGCATATCTTTTCCAAGTACATTTGATAAATTCCCAATGAGATGTATAGTAGCAGCAATGACCAAACAGTTTAACTGGGACTGAGGAGCAAGGTTGTGTGTATCAAAGGGATTATTACTTAAAAGTGGGTGAGATTCACCTTTTCTTCGACGATGAGTACTTAGTGCAAGACGGAAGAATAGGGCAGGTAGCAAAAAGTCTAGAATCAAACCTGTTAAAGAAAGAAAAAAAGAATCAATATTTGACCAAAAAGTTTAATAATATATAGTGATTAACAAAGTAAGTAAACTTGCCTTGAAATTTGAAGAAAGTAGCATCCCAATACCAATCTAACTGACTGGAGATTGCGACAGCAGAAATTGAATATACTACTATAACTATAACGCCAATGATATAATTGAATGCTCCACTCTGTAACAATGCCGCAGCAAGGCAAAGTTCTAAAACATTATGATAGATTCCAAAAGCAGCCCATAGTTTGCCTATTTGAAATATAGCGGCAGTAATCAAAGCTATAAAGGTGACAATTACATAACCGGTGACAATAGTGTTGAAAAGCATTTCTGTCCAAAGTATTTCTTCGGCAGCCGGTTGGTTGTTTGAAGGATGATCATCGGAAGGTACTCGAACAGGAGGTCTTTTGCGTAGTTTAACGTAGACACAAAAAATCGCAAGTACACCGGTGATAAAAGCAGCAACATATTCAATAATACCCACAGTTTCATTTACGACAGTAAAATGAGGAGAATCGCTGATCCATATTGGTAAACCAGTAAGATTTGATGTCTTTTGTTGGGGAGGATCTGGGAATGGAAGTACATTAACATACAAAATAGCAACAGCTATTAATTGTATAACAACAAGTAGTTGAAGAATAAAATGAAGAACTTTGTCAACGTCAAGAGCCATCGTTAGTTAGATGAGTTAAGGAAATATTGAGATGTTTATATAAGAAAATGAAACGGATTTGTACTGTACGAGTGGAACGCGCAAATGAAGCGCTGGAATTCCATTTTTAGAAATTATATAATCCGTTATAATTCCGGGTTTCCGTTTTTTTATTATAAAGCACCTAAATTATACAGAAAAGAAATAAACATAATCAAATGTAAGATGCGCTTTGTTGTATCTATGACATAAATCCCCACAGCTTCAAGCTTTTCATTTACGTTATTCTCTACTATTCAAATATGCATATTAAATTTATAATAGTGTATCCTATTTTTACTACCTTCGGATTTGGATTAAGGTCGAGTTAAGATTAATATATCCATAATCATATATCAAAATTCCTCAATGAATATTTTCTTAGAAGAACAAACAAATAACTTCATTATGCATGGTATCAATGAGATGTAAATATATACACAGTTACCAAATATATATAATGTACCCGAACCTATTTTGGTGTAATACCAGGAACGGAGTGATGAAATCACGTAGTGTATGGTTATACGGCAATTTAAATAATGTTCGTCCGCAAAAACTCGCAAATGTTGGATGATGCATCAAATGCACTTAATTTCACAATGTTAGTTACATAGTCACATGGATCCGAACTTGTATATATTAAACTTGCTTTGTGAGAAATTAAATATCATTAATCATTTCCAACCGCAGCGATTACCAGATGATATTTCATTAGGCTGCTAAGCCAGGTTAAATGCAGAAGCGCAACCATTAATACTAATCGAGGGTCCGTTTACATAATGATTTACAAATTGCATAATTTGTGTTCTTGATATCTTTATAAATAATACCCCTAACTACATCGGAAAAACTAATCCTAACCGAACCTGACTTTGACGTTTCTCCTAATTGAGCATAATGACTTAGCGAGACATAATTCCTAATAATATCTACGTATATTGTAAAATCTCGTGAGTGGTCTTGCATCATGTGAACAGCGGTCGTAAGAATCCATATTAATATAAATCCAATACGCATATTGGCCGACTCAATTTTAAAAAAAGAAGGTAAAGTACTTAGACATAAGCTCTCATATATAATTTGTCTAGCCAATCAGCTAATAATTAGCTAGTTGTTTTTTTAAGTGTTCCGTTCCTGGTTTTGCGTGATGACGTCGCGCAGCTATCTAGTTTTAGACAGTCGTAAATTTAAGTTGTATATGTACGTACGTATTACTTGGAACAATTTCATTAAATGGTTCCATTTAGAATTCTAAAGCCAATAAATTATCCATATATAGACAATATTGTAATGTAAATCATTATCACCTAAACGTATAGAAAATCTGGGCAGGGTAAACAAATTTCTAATACGTACTACTTACCGTATAACGCCTGGCGTGTAGGTTAAATTTTGGCCCGAGTTAATCGTAATTCGGCCTAAATTAAACTTAACTCGGGCCAAAGTTTAACCCACACCCCTGGGCGTTATTTCGAGATAATACATTAATTTATAGCATTGTGTTCGGAGTACATAAAGGTCATCATAGCGTACGAACGCGTAGGTGTATATGCTTTTGTTACGCTAAAGCACAAATGTTGTTGCCCATTTTTGGTCAAAATGGACCAAAAACAATTTTAGTACACACCGGTATTTACATTAATACGTAATAAAGTTAACAGGGATATCAAATTTGTAGAATCAAATCGGATAGTGAATTTTCTGTCCGATTGATATAATACCTAATTAGACAATATCCGAATTAGTTATGCAAAACTGATAAAAACAAAATGTTTAACAAAAACCCGTGTAACCCAAAACCTAATTCTATTCGTACAACCAAATTTGGTATTCCCTCACAAATTAAAGATTTTCTAAATTTGAATTTTGAATGATAATATCTCGGCAAGCACTAGGTCAAACATGATGAACTTTTTCTTTATTTGAATTTTGCGGATTCATATAATTCGATTTAAAAGTTTATCGGATTTGGCCTATTGGTTGTCGAGATGCCTTTGTTCAAAGTTGGAAAACGTCTATTAAAGCAGAAGCTGCGGTAAATTTTTTTTCTAATTTTGAGCAATGATATTTCGACAATCACTGGGTAAAATTCGATCCCTTTTATTTTTTTATTTGAATTCTAAAAACCTGTAGAATTCAAATAAAAAAAGGCTTATCACGCTTGACTCAGTGTTTGTCAAAATATCATTGCTCAAAGTTTGAACATTTTGGCGCATCTATTTTGATAAACATTGAATTGTTTTCAACTTTGAGCAACAACCACTGGGCAAAATTGATAAATTTTTTATTTTATTTGAGTTCTACAAATTTGTAGGCTACAATTAAAAAAAGGAAACATCATGCTAGACCAAGTGGTTGTCGAGATATCATTGCCCAAAGTTGGAAAAATTTTTGGTAGTTATTTTGATAGATGTTTTAGGTTTTTTTCTAACTTTGAGCAAAGGTATCTCGACTACCACTAGGCCAAATTCGATGGACTTTTTTCAAATCAAATTTTACGAATCTGTAAAATTCAAAAAAAAATAAAAAATAAATAAATATAGAATTTTGCCTAGTTGTTATTGAATTATTATCGTTCAAATTTTAATTTGGTGTGATATGAATATCAATTCCCTAATATAATATACTTAATAAGTACTTACAAAGATAAGAACAAAAAAAAAATAAAATGAAAGGAAATTTGAAGTATGAAGGAAAATACATATACTTTCGAGTATGAGATTAGTACGCTGCAAAATCAAGTCAAAATTTGGATTTGAATCAAATTTTTTAAGAATTTGATCAAATATTTGATTCAAATTCAAACTTGATTTGATTTTACGGAGCACTATAAGAGATGCACCAAATTATGGCAACAATGAGAATGTCTCATGTTTGGTAATTAAGTTTCGAAATTACATAATATTAATGAATTATAGTAACAATGAGAGTGCAATCAACTTCATGTTTGGTAATTAAGTTTCACAACTATGTTACCAATGCAAGGAACTCATGTCGTAAACTCTATTGCTGCTGTAGGCAGTTCATGTTTGTCGATGAAGCTCTGCAACTATGATAACGATGCAAGGACCTCATATTGTGACTAGGCTCTATGGCTACCGCAGGCAGTGAGAGAACCTCATGTTTATATTTTGGTGATTATTCTCCACAGCTACGATGGGTGTAAGGACTAGTGATATATCATTTATATGATATCTTAATTTTTTTAGCGTACAGTACGTATAGATACGCACATGATGTATATATACAAACTTTTGCAAGGAATAACGTTGCTTAGAGAATAAAATACGATTACATAAGGGAAATTTTGAGCTATTAACGTTTATGATTTGTTCTAGAATATTCTAAAGCGCACCGTACTATACACGGCATCATATATAATGTTATCTAATTTATTCTCATTACAGCTATGTGATTTCTCCATATGCAAAGATGAATAGATTGGTTTTTGGTATGTTTTATTGGTAGCTATAATTATGCAATTTGTTATAAAACGAATGGTTTGTTTGGATAAGGATATTTTTTAGAGTCAACATGTATGATATAGAGCTTATAATCAATAACATGTATACAGTATCTTCATTGATTTTATTCACTTATCTAACTGATTTGATTCTGATTTCTTATTACACAAGGACAACATCCTTCTTTACTCTGTTTTATTTGTTTAACTAATTTGATTTTAGTAAAAATTCTTGTAAAAAAATAATTAATTCTAGTTTTGGCTAACTTTAACATAATCAATTATAACTTTTAATTAGAATTAAGTATATTTTTTACCCGATTTGGAAAAATTTGCGATTAATTTTGACAAAAGTAACAATTATTCTAATAAGTAGAGGATCGAATTGAATCAGTTAATGAATTAGAATTAAATTGATAAAGAAGCGCCTATTTTAAAGGATTCAAAAATTTATTAAGACTAGAATCAAATCAATTAAATAACAAGGCATTTGATATACTTTAAGGAAGTTTATGCTAAAATTACAACAATAATAATAAATTGTAAATTTTAAGATTATATACATTCAAACTTAAAATAAATTAAGAATTTTATAGAATAGATAAACATATAGTATACAGATTTATGTTATATACTAGATGATTAAATAATATTAAGCTTTTATTTAAGGCGCATTTTGGTTAAAAATTTATATATTGTGAGCCCGATTTTTGGGGTCACGGTGACACGGGCGAAACGGCGAGTCAGTCGCTTGTCGATGGGATATGTTGTGTGACCTACGAACGGCTTAGTCGATAAGAGGCGGTTAGATTTGGCGAGTGGTGTGTTTATGGTCGTAGGTTTTATATTAT